CTTTTGGATTGTGCAAACCCCTTTCAGTTCCAGTGCCTGCGCTCAATTGTGGCTTGCATGACTTTGAGGACCTGCTGTTATGAAGCCATGAGTGCTTCACCACTTCCCTTTGCTGTTATCTGCACACGCTGAAACCACACAGACTTGTTTCTGCTTTTATCTGGGTGAATCTGGGAACACTTTCAACTTTTTTTTTTGGTGGTACTGGGGTTTGAACTCATGACCTCACACTTGCTAGGCAGGCACTCTACCACTTGAGCCATGCCTCCAGTCCATTTTGCTGTGGTTAATTTGGAGATGGGGTCTCAGAACTATTTGCCTGGGTTCATCTCAAACCACAATCATCCTGATATCAGCCTCGCAAGTACCTAGGATTACAGGCGAGAGCCACTGGTGCCCAGCACGATATCCTTTTAACAAATGTCCTCCACAGCTTACTCAAAGTTGTTTTTCACTGTTTGTAGTCAAGAACAAAACCTGACACTGACGGATGTTAATGAAGCTGGGGGGAGGGGTGGTGTGTGGAAGCAGATGTTGCTGGATCTCATTGCTGATGTCGCACCACTCTGGTCAAAGTTGAGGCTGGCCAGTGCTGCGGGGCCTGCTTTCTTTCCCTGCAAATGTGTGCAGCAACACAATTATGACTGATCCACACTGTAGGCGACAGCAGCTGCTGTAGATTCTCAAAAGGGAAATAGGAAGATTAGCCTTTTGATGTGTGTGAGGTGGACCAAATCAGTTAGGAAGCCGCCATGGTGGTCCAGGAGAGAACTCCAGTCAAGCATGGGAAGGGTGGGGAGGTGAACCAACTGCACAGGACAAGGTGACTGGGGAGGACTCAGTAGCAGGGGCACCTCACAGCCAGGTGATCAGAAAATACTAAGACAAAGCTAAGGCAGCCTCCTACCTGAGCAATCTAGAAGCTGAGTGATCCCATCCCAGAACTCACGCTCATCCAGTGTTTATTCCCTAGGGGCCCATGAGGAAGGAAAGCAGAGCTTAGCCTGTGTTGAGGTGCGTGAGCAGTCCAGGCCCTAGTGCTGTGGGCCTCTGATTCATTCCTCAACCAGTCTGCTCACCCGCAGGTGTGCTCACTGCTGTGGGCATGAACTTGCAGGTCACAGGCAGTCCTGCCTTCAAAACCTTCCAGGCCCACATTCTCGACGTGACTCACATTGCAACATTCACAAGGCTTTAGTGACCCTTTGGAAGAGGCACAGGTAAAACGGCCTGAGTCCTACCATTCGCGAAGCAACACCAGCTCTGCCACCTGCAGCTGAGTCTTTCTTAACACCAAAACCTGCACTTCTGAGCACTTAGTAGGGCGCTCATTCGCAGACTACTTTCCAGCTCCAAGCAAAAGGCCACAGACCTTTCAGTATCTAAGGACATCAATTATTCCAATAGCAACAAATTGAGTCTAAATCAAGTTGGATCACCAGAAAGCTACTTCAGCTCCCTGTCGCCAGTGTACAACTTACCCTTGCATTTCACTTACATACAATAAGTGACAGAGGCCTTATGAGGCCATGTGTGTGGTAACTGCACCGGAGGCATTTTCACTCTGTAGCCCAATGATCTGAATGGCAAAAACTCCTGAGTTTTGCACTAGATTCTTCCCTTACTGCTTCACTCTTTATTTGGGCAACAGGAAAACTAGGTCTCCCTTTTCATCCTCACATCTAAATTCAGCGCCCAGCAGAGCACCACTTCGCATGCATCCCTCCCTTCCCCTGCCTATGGCTCCTCCTGACCTGTCAATCAAGCATACTATACTAGCTATGGCCACTTATTTCAGATCCACCAAGGAAGCCGACAAATTCCATCAAACTGCCTTCTTTCCCTCGCTGTTTTACTTTCACCACTCTGCTCCCTGTGCTGCTGGCCATGACGAAGCAGCAAGTCCCCTCAAAGCACAGCTTCAGAAAGTCAGTTAAGAGAAGTGGGAAGACCACAGCCTCATTGTTTACTTTCAGCCAAAAGCTGGCTTTAACTCCAATGAAACATAGTAAGATTACCTAGTGGTGAAGGGTAACAGAGATTCAAGCAGCCAGCAGGCTCACAAAAAGTACTCCATCCTCTTCCCAAACTTCCCTTCCCTAGCCCAGTCCCCATCTGCCACCGTTTCAGGCAGGTTCCATTCCAGCCTCCATGACCAGATGGGGTTCTCCCATCTGGACCTGGTCTCCTCAGACACAATGCTCTCACCTCTCAGGACTCCTACTGCCCATCACACCTCTGGATGGACTTCTGGTTTCTCACAAAAGCAAGACTCTGTGCTTTTACGACACCCATCCCCTGCCCTAGCCTGCCAGATGACAAACATAAGAACCAATTCATACTTCTTCCCTCAAAAAGCCACCTGGATATTCTCCCCAACTCAACTACTCTTCTGGCATGGTACCTGAAATCTGGATGAATGCTTGGCTCTGGTACATGCTTAGCTGATTAGTAATCTTTGCTTTTAAAGCCAGATCATAAATCTATGGGCAGACACCATATCCTATTTTCCTTATGCCAATCTCAAAGGCAGAATCTCAGGCCTCATCATGGGTGGGGAAGATGGCGAAAGGTCAGCCTTAAACATGCTGCAAACACTGTGCATCCTTCCAGCAGGGGCAACAGTATCAACAAATATTTATCTTTATTAGTAAGACCTTAATATAGGATTAAACATTCCTCCTGCCACTACCACGCATAAAAGCCCAACATGTCAGTACAGTTTACAAAGCATTTTCTGGTAAGAGGAAAGCCAGTGCTGAAACAGGATGGACTTCTTAGTATGGCAAGCTGACCTGGGTGACCAGAGACTTCAGGTGGCCTTGGCAAATTCAACCAGTGTTAGCTAGAGGTGACTAGGACCCCGCCATCTCCCATTTGTATCCAGGACAGTTCTGCTTTGGTGTCCTAGACATCCTTTTAACATGTAGTTTTTACAAAAGACAGTTGTTTAAAATGTCTTCTCAGTTTTCCATGGAATGAGAAAACCACTTCCTATTTTTGCCATTCTTAGTAGTTTGCTATCTTACTGGTGTTGTTTTCAGAGGAATTCCTCCATCTCCAACTCCACAAATAAATGAAAACCAAGCCACACAGTTGGAAATCAAGTTTTGTTTTTATATGAACAGAAGTAGACCATCTAGAAATAGTTCAGTTTATTTAAATTGTTAAGTAGAATATGAAACCGAATTTGTAGCTAGTTCCAGAGAAGGGACTTTAACTGTCGGTGTTTAATGAAAACAGCTTCTACACAGGATCCCAAGAGACTTACAGAGAAGGGGCAGAGCCCTAATAGGAAGCAAATAAAACTCATGTTTCAAACAGATTATACAAAAATTGATTTATACTCCATTTCCCTTTTTTTTTTGATATTTAGAAAGTGCAGATTTAACAAAAGGTAGCCATATCCTTTCTATGTACAATGCCGGTTAGAATTATGCAAAGAAAACTGTCAGTCTGTTACCCAAAAATCCCAGTGTTTAGCTCTCAAACCTTAAGTCACTGAATTGAGTAAGATCAAAGAGGGTGAGAGGTAAAAAAGCTACTGCCACATTCCAGATAAAGGGAAGTCACAAATACACTGAACAGTAGGTTTAACCTAAAACTTTTCGAAAAGCTTTAACATCATTTTGCTACTTATTTTTTTTTAGTGGAAAATTAGGGATTATTTGGCAATGCTGCTTTTTACTGGGTAAACAATGATAGAGTCAAGTGAGGGAGAACCTAAGAACAACAACCATTGAGGCATATAAAACTGTCTTTAGGGCACTATCTGAAAAGTTCGCCGGTGCTGGAAGCAGATAGGTCCCATGTTGTTTATGTGAGTCAGGAGTGATTAGAATGCGTGTCACGACACAAAGACTTTTCAATGGAAGCTGCTGTCCTAAACTCAGCCTCTGCTCAAAATGAATCATGCTATTCACAATTATTTCAACAAAGGTATCATCTTAGGATGCTAGCAGCATAGCAAACTCAACCTACCCTATCCTAACGATAAGCGATGAAGCGAAACTAGAAAGATGAAGGACAGGGTTAGAAACAGCTAGAGATCTTATCCTTACATGAGAAGCCTTTTGTTGTCCTTTTCTCTAAATCCATGGTAATACAAGTTTTCTAAGAGGATGTGAAGATACAACTTCAAATTAGTAATATTGTAAGTATTTCTAAATCTTAAGGTAAAGACAACTTAACACTGAAAAAGTGTTCAGAGGCCAAATTTCGACATATTTGGCAGACATGTTAATAAAATCCACTCCTCCTTCCTGTTTTTTCATTTTCTTTTTACACAATCTTTACTGGGCTACCAAACTGCCAGAGGAGTTGCCAAAATGGAGACTACTCAAATTCAGGTTCAGAAATGTATTCTAGGAAAGTGAATATAGGATATACACCTAATAAGAAAGACAAACCACGACATCCTCCAAACACTAGTGCATGCAATTAACTCTTCCATTTCATAAACTCAGTGGATAGACAGGAAGGGACGGAAGGGAAGGAGAGGAGGGACACAGAAGTGAAACAGCGGGCCAGAGGCTTTAGGGAAGAGAGTAAATGAGGGGAAGACACCCATTAACTGACATCAGATAGTAGGCAGTCAGAATTTCTTTCAGTTTACTTAGCAAGTTAAATCAGTGCTTTATGTTGAACGTGACAAACCTACTACTAGTTTGCCCCTTTCATTTTTAAATAACTCATACCATGAGGTGGTGGGAGAAGAGAAGCAAATAAAGCAGCATGCGGGAAGATGAGACACAAGGAAAGTGGCCAAGGAGAACTGGTGGCAGGAATAGTTTTAAATATCAAGGCCACTGAAAATGAGACTCAGCAAACCAAAGCTATCATTTGTGCATTACCCTTTGTCCTCAATTAGCTACTCTGAAAATTACAGCCAAGCAAACACAATGATCTATGTTTGGATGATACGTCTCCTGCACATGCTTCCATCAAAACAGAAAAGGAAAAACCAAGCAAGTTCCTTTCCACGTAAGGCACAGGACAAAATTAACCCCACTTACAGATTCAAGGCGAAAATGAATGTTTTCCTGGCTTTTGTTGGTTTCTTTGCTATCACATGTCTATAGATTGACAGGGACTCAAGCACATTATCCATGACAGAAAATTCCACTGTTGTACAAAATAAAATTGTTAATTCTAACTTTTATTCTTATACAATTTGCAGAGTAGAGTTGAAATGATTGCTATAGGTTTCAGTGTTGATAAGAACTGGACTATAAGACAACTGAAATGCAGTGGTGAGCTCAGCAAGTACATTTAAAAATGAAGTCACAGACATGATTTTCTATACATTTTTTTGTTTGAAGAAAATTATAATAAAGTCAGCAAGCAGTCACAGATGAAAGAACAAATAAAATAGGTGGCCTGAATAGTTAGGATGAGGAACAAAAACATCTGTTTAGAGTTACAAATGGACAGAGTGGTTTATTTTGCAGCAAGAAGAGAAACGGATGGCAGCGATGGACAGGTACGTTCAGCAACACTTGCTCTTCCAGCCTGTCACGCCTCCGCCACTGCTGATGTCTACGTTTTCACTGTTAGGCTCTTTTACTGGGGTCTGGAACAAGCACACAAGGAAAGCAACCATGAAAAACCACTGCCATGGATAAATCATGACTCAACAGAAACATTCTCATCGATGTCAATTTATGCAGCAAAAGCAATTAAAGTCACATGACTCCCCTCCCCCGCACCATGTAAAGCCAAAATTTGGAACCTGTTTTTCATTTCCATTTACCTAACTTTCACCAATCTGTGAAATATTGTAGACATTTCCTAACAACCCTTACTAAAGCTTATGAAATAATCTCCGCTCTATGTCTTCTGACTACATTTTGCTATCTTCTGTCTCTGACCTGAGTACATGCTTAAAAAACATTAGCAGCTGGGCACAGTGGTGTGTGAGTGAGTGCGTGCACACACACAAAGCCTGAAATCCCGTAGGGAAGATGGCACTAGGAGGCGGAGGCAGGAGTTCTAGGCCAGCTTGGGCTAAGTGGTAAAAAAATAAAATAAAAAACTAAATCAATCAACTTGTATAAAGCCAAGGTTGGGTCCCATCTTTTAGAGAGGTGCATCAGTGCTTCTCTGTTTAGTTTCTTTTCAAGCAGAAATTTGTATTATTGTCCCATTACTTTACCACAAGTGAAAAGAGGTGTGGGGCAAAATGCAAAATTACATAATTCCTGTAAGAAAAGGACACAGAAAAAGCATGCCACAACACCTGGCTTATTGATTGAGATGAGATCTCATTTACTTTTTGCCCAAGCTCGCATCAAACCACCACCCTCCTTATCTCCATCTCCTAAGGGCTTGGATTACAGATTTGAGCCTCTGCACACTGCCTGGTTGTCATATAATTTTAAAATATGAGATCACTACGTGTGTTTTATCCTCACTTGCCTTTTGGTGGAACAGGGCCTCCCTATATATTTTACTCGATATACTATAAATACCCCTTTCATTTCTTTAATTTTCCTAAACACTTCCCTCACTCTAGCCTGCCTGCATAGGCATGTGCCACTCTGCCTGGCTCCTAAATCAGGTTTTGTTTTGTTTTTTGGTTTTTTTTGAAAGTGTTCTGTGTATCCCAGGCTCTCTTTGAACTCACAATTCTGCTTTGGCTACTGGAGAGCTGAGAGTACAGAAGGGCATTAACACACCCAGCTCAAATTCACATTTTTTTTTTTTCTTTTTGCAGTATGGGGGATTGAGCCCAAGGCCTCACGAGTGCCAGGAAAGCACTCTACAACTAAGCTGTATCTCCAGCCTTCAAAGTCACTTTTTGATTTGACAGAATTCTCACAGGGTGAGGTAGGGGACACAAGTACATAATATGCATATGTGAAAAGGCAATAATGAAACCCATTCAAACAATGCACAGGGAAGATAAAAGGGGGTAAGAAATAACTGAGGGGTGAATATTACCAATGAGATCCCATCGCATCATACAATTAATTTGTGCTAATAAAAGATGTGGTGGGGAAAAGAGCCAGTCAACTGTAAGAACCAAATATAAAACCTGTTACTTAAAAAGGCAGGGAGAGAGAGGGAGGGAAGAAGGAAGGGAAAATAAAGAAAAACCCTCCGAAATCAAGTCTGCAAGTGAGAAGCTGCAGAGTTGGAGGAGTGGGCGCATGTAGTCCCCTTGAATAGCAGAAACTGATGACTGTCTAGTAAGGTTTGAACATTCAATTGTAGTTTACAGATACCTACATTTCATTCTGTGGCTTTTATGATTCCATACAGAGAATGTAATTTACTCCAATGCTAAACATCTAAACTCAGTTTCTTCTAGCTGCTCAGCAATCTCACTGGATAGCTCTATCTGCATAGATATTATAGATTTCCAATGAGGTTGCAGAGCAGTCAATTATCTGCACAGATACAAATAGGAAACTGGGGTTTGAACTCAGGGCCTCACACTTGCTCGGCAGGTATTCTGCCACTTGAGACATACTTACAGCCCTTTTTGGAATTAGTTATGTTTCTTTGGGTAGGGTTTCATGTTTTTGTTTGAGCCAGTCTCAGACCAAGATCCTCTGGCCTTTCAGAGATAGCTGGCACTATAGGCATATGCTAATACAATTAGCTTATTGACTGAGATGGAGTCTTCAAAACTTTTTGGCTGTGCTGGCCTCTAACCATAGTCCTCCCAATCTCTACCTCCTGAGTAACTGCAATTACAGGTACACACCATCAAACCCAAATGAACTTATATTTTATGTATTACCTCTATTATAGCTTACGTTTTATAGATGTGTTCCTTTTTATAGGTTGGTTGTTTTGTGGTGCAGTGCTGGGAGTTAAACCCAGAGCCTCACAAAAATGCCAACACATGCTCTACCACTAGCCCAATATAGGTTGGTTTTCAAACAAATAAACTAGCTGGGCCTGGTAGTGCACATCTGCAATTCCAGCACTCAGGAGGGTGATAGGTTAAAGACCAGCCTGTGTACATAGCAATACTCTGTCTCAAAACTACCAAAACAAAACAAAAACAGAAAGGTTATTGGAAACAATTACCTTTTTTGAGACAGAAAATCACTATGTAGCCTAGGCTGTTCTCAAATTTGCCATCCTCCAAGTACTTGGATTACAGCATGTGCCACCACATCTGGCTTAGCAATTACATTTCCTTTGAGATTTAGGTCAGATTTCATCCATATTGCCTTACATTTAAAATAATAAGGGGCTGGGGGCATGGTTCAAGTGGTAGAGCACCTGCCTAGCAAGCATAAGGCCCTGAGTTCAAACCCCAGTCCTGCAAAATAATTAATTATCCACTCAATCATTTCTGTGCATTATATCTAGTCACCTGAGGGAAAAATATGAAAATTCAATTTTCCAGTTTTTCTACATTACCTATACTGACAAGTAATGTATTTATTCAGTATATAACATACATATGTCCTTAATCTCCCTGAGAAGTACACGTATAGAAGAAAACAGACTGTATAGCAATAGTAGATTGCTTCTTACATAATAGATTCACTTCTCATCTAAAATTATTTATTGGAAGGAAAGGACCCATTAAGAGACTGAGCTCAAGAGTGAAAAGGCTGGATTGAGGGACAAGAGGATTCAGTTCAATGGTAGAGTGAACTTGCCTAGCAAACCCTGGGTTTGATTCCCAGCTCCCAGCACCACAAAAAAAGAGAAAAAACAAAACAAAACAAAACAAAAAAAAACCCAAAAAGTAGAAAAAGGGATAGGGACCTGGGACTAGAGAGTGACTGTGGCAGCTCAGACACCAGCTGCTACCCAATGGCTGCATCCTTCCGGTTGCTAGATGGCTTGTAGCGCTTAAGTTCCTTACTACAGACATTGGTAATGGATAATCTTTTAGAAACATCACCACCCAAACTCAAATTTTGTATGTAAATCAGTACTTAAGAAGAGACAAAATATTTGGCAAAGGAAAAATAGGAACTTACCTTTCGAAGGATATCTTCAGCTAATGTGAGGAACGCCTTTTCGATGTTTATATTTGCTTTTGCACTAGTCTCAAAAAATCTAATACCATGCTCCCTTGCAATCTAAAATTGAAGCAAAATAGTATTATAAAATTCTCAAGTAGGGGTTGCCAAGTAATGACTGAAACATCTCAGGAGAAATGCTTTTTATTCTGAAGGCAGAGGCCTTAACTAGAATACGTAACAGACTGCTCAATGAGTCAAGCACTTTCAAAACATAAACAAAATACAAATTATCAAAATAATACTCCTTACCCCAACAGTTAATTTTAGATATTCTAAAGCGAGTATTTTACTCGGCATAAAAATGAGAAGCTCAATGTAACTTAATCGAATTGCTGTTTGTCACAGGCTTCTGACCATTAAATGTTGGCAATCATACTAATTGACGAATTTCTTTAAAGTCCTAAAATAAACAAGCTAAGAATCACTGATTTATATTTTTCCTCCCTGTATCTTTTTTTAAAAAGGCTAAAACTACTAAAGCCACAAGACTTCATTCCTCCACACATAATGGATACACACTAAAAATTCACTCAAATGATTAGCTATTGTTTCCACTAAGTTTTTAAAAACCTTTGTACTACTTACTACCAATACCATCAAATACAGTGCTATCTCCACAAAGGGCAGCACAATTCAGATCTTTACCTGTTCTCCTTTTCCTTTAGGTACAACTCTTTTATCATCCATATCACACTTGTTTCCTAGTAACATTCTTTCCACATCTTCATTGGCATGCTAAAACAGAAAAAAAAATGTATTTTGACACACCACCATAAATTATAACTTAATATTGTCTGAACATGACTTTATTTTTCTGAATTTCATGTCATTTATATAGATTTAAAGTTTTAAAGCAGTTACTCTAAAGTTACCCTATTGTTAACAGCATATAAATTCTTAAACTACCTAGCAAAAGAAGTATCTTTTTGTGTGTGTGTTACTGAAATTTTTGAACTCAGGGCCTCATGCTTGCTAGGCAGGGGCTTGTACCACTCTGTCGGCCTGTAACAGGTATTTTTGAGATAGGGTCTCTCCACCTATTTGCTCGCGCTGCTTCGAACCACAATCCTCCAGATAGATCTCTGCCTCCTGAGTAGCTAGGATTATAGATAGGCATGAGCCACCTGTGCCCTGAAAGAGAGATAATCCATAAGATGTATCAATGCTGAATGGTATTTTTCTCCTAGAAAAGGCTGTCTACTTTCTAGATATATTCTCAGCAAAAAAAGATAGAGATGAAACATCTGAAACTGTGATCTCCATAATTTAAATCCAAGCTGAATAATTATAATGCCTACTTAAGCTATAAAAGCCATAATTAAAAGTTTTATAGAGCTTTAAAATCCCAAATAGTGATAGTGCTACATTGTAAGGGGCCCCTGCAGAAAAATCAATTAAAAACAAAGGCAGTCTCATCAAAATCCAAAAGACATTTCTTACAGGAATAAAAAGATCCATCCTAAAATTCACATGTAATTTTAAAGGGATCCTAAGGGTGAAAATAATCTTTAAATAGACAGACAGACAGCTGGACTTGGTGGCTCAAGCCTGTAATCCCAGCTTTAATTTTGCACCTTCGTTGGAGAAGGGGAGTTCAAATCCTAATCCCACCAAAAACAAACAAACAAACCACAAAGGAAATCTAAGAAAGTTATAAAGTGTGCTCATGACCTAAGATAGTAACAGTTTGTTGAAAGAGGGCAAAAAAGGTGGGGTTAGTGAGGGTGCCTCCTTATGAGGGGTATGAGATAACCTCAAAAAAGAAATTACACCAAATATTACATAGAAACTTCCTATTTAGGGATTCTAGCTTATTTATTTGCTGATTTGAATTTGGTGCCTCCTAATTTATGGTACTGCCAAACCAAAGGTAACTTAGAAAATATCCAATAATAATCAGCAAAACACCAGGTACTTTTAATACTGTGCAATGTGCTGAGTCAGTAAGGGGCACTGTTGTTCTTTTTTGAGACAGGGCCTCCCTCTGTAGCCCAATGTGGTCTCAAATTCTTGATCCTCCTGTCACAGCCTCATGAATTCTGGGATGACAGATGTATGCCACTACAGTCAGCTAATAAGGGGCAGTCTGAACTTAGAGAATCCTTGCTGGAACTACAGGGAACTCTAATTATTGGGCCTGGGGATATGGTCAGTGGTGGAGCAATTGGCTAGCATGTGAAAGAGGTTCAACCCTTAGAATCTCTCTCACACACACAATCAAACAAAACTTCAGTAGTTACATGATTAAGTACATTGTTCTAACAAGATTCTAAACTGAGCCCACAACTCCAAGTACAGAAGCCCTGCTCTATGAGGCTCCTAGCCACTAAATGCACAAACTATCACATCACCTGAAGTAATCTACCAATATCCTGATCAATTCCTGACACTGCAAGTCATCACAGACACTAATGTGAGCCTCCAACAAAGCAGAAGAAAATTAGAGGCCACTATTCTACTAAATATACTTTTAAGTTACAGCATAAGAAGGCCAAGAGAAGGGAATAAATAAGTGGTCAATAAACTACAAAAATGGTAAAATTACATTACATGCACATTTAGAAGTAGTTTGGACTTGGGGTTAAAAATACAATTCATGCTGGGAGCGGTGGCTCACACCTGTAATCCTAGCTACTCAGGAGGCAGGGATCAGGAGGATTACAGTTCAAAGTCAGTAAATGCAAATAGTTCTTGAGACCCTATCTTGAGAAAATCCATCACAAAAAAAGGTTTGGTGGAGTGGCTCAAGGTGAAGGCCGAGTTCAAGTCCCAGTACCACCAAAAAAAAAATCATAAAGCTTTAGCAATTTGACCATCAATTTACATTCCACTATACCTCCATATCCACATGCATTAGTATTCTGGGGCTAATGAGGAAACGTAAAATTCCTTACATATGTATGACATTTTAGAGCATAAATGTAACTCTAGCTCAAAAATCAACTTGAAAATGTTAAGACCTTATAGCCCCTAATCCTGCTAAGTGTTGGTCTGTCTTAAAGAAGTACACAACATAAACAGTGATGATCACACCGTGCCTGCCATCAATTTGAGTTTCTCTCGAGTTCTGACACACAGGAAATGGGCTAGACTGCACTCAAAGCCCTGCACAAGCTGCTTCTCCCCTGTGCCCTAACTATACCTTGGCTTCCTGATGGTTCAAGAACCTCTCGCCAAAAGAGGGCAGGTCTGGTTGCCATTAAAATTATCCGTACTGATCAGAAAGGTTCCTATCTCAAATATTCCTTTCTCTTTACAGTTGGTGCATGTGCACCACGCACATTTCTGTGTTTTGGTGGGAAATCAACCGGATGACTTGCACATACTGGGCATGGGCTCTACCACTGACCTAAATTCCCAACCTTTTTCTTTTTTTTTTTTCCTTTTCTCCCAACAAGGGAAGTTTGGAATTGCATTTTGACTAACTGGAGGCAGATGGTCACGTTTACTGTTAATTTTCATAAGAAAGTTAAAGGCCTCTGTAGCATTGAGTACAAAGAACAAGTATGTCTAACACATAACTAACAATCTACCAGCAAGGCAGTCATTTTTACAAAATGTGTGATGATACTGTGAAGACCTGTTACACTCCTAGCTACGTGTCATGACTATCAGAAAAGCTTTACAGAAAGTGAGCTAGGCAGGCTGGGAGTGTGGCTCAAGTGTGAGGCTCAGTTTGTATCCTAGTACCGCCAAAGAAGTGAGCTGGACTCTCAAATACAGAAATGACAAGCTATTATGATATCCAGGAAGAACACATTTTTGAGTTAAGTAATAACACTTTCCTCTTGGTTTAGGAAATTTTCGTAGTTAGTATCTTCTTGGCTCATATTTTCTTTTTCTTTTTTTCTTCCCTAATTACTGTCTTTTTATACAGCACTAAAGAGATATATAACAAGGTTAAGGAAAAAAAAAAAAAGAGTATCTGAAAAACAGCTGGGATATCCTTCTCTGAGTAACAAAAATAAAAACCATTTTTTTCCTTTTGGAGACAGGGTTATCACTATGGAGCCTAGCCTGACCTTAAACTCATGATCCTCCCAAATCCTGGGATTACAAGCGTGCACTGCCATGAAACATCGCTTAAAACTTTCTCTAAATAGCAGAAAAACACAAACATTGTTAGAAAGTGAAGACCATCCTTCCATGACAATACCAACAGTAAGAGTCATGTGTGGTGAGGTTAAAATAGGAGTGCTGCCAAACACAGGGCCAAGCATTCAGAGGCAGAGCTTCTACATGTTCCTATGCCAGCATGCATACTGATCCTTTTCACTTAGATACAGACTTGTATTTGTAACTATACAGGCAAAACCAACAACTGGTAGATGCACCACACAGATACATTCCTCAAGAGGTACATTTATGCAATATAAATTCAACATAGGTGGTAACCAGTGCAAAAATTGACTAATTTCCCAAAAACTAAAGGGGGAGGGATGAGTTTAGATCCCAGGGGTTTTCAGCTTCAGTAGAACTGACATTTTGGGCCAGACCATTTGAGGGGGTTGTCCTGGTTACTGTAGTATGTTTAGCAGTATCCCTGATTTCTACCAACTTGATTTTAGTAACATTCTCCTTCTGCTCCAGTTGTTACAACCCAAAATAATCTCCACACAATGCCAAATGTTCTCTTGGAGGTAAAATTCTCCGAGAGCCACTAGTTTAAACAGAGACTACTGTCCATCATTAAATAAGTTAGATGCTCTAAGAAACTCCAAATTCTAATTAATATGAAAGTATTCAGAAACCAACGTGCTTCATAAATGACAAAGAGCTGTTTTGATATGCAAATACTAACAGGAGAGCCTGTTAGGTTTTTTGTTTTTGTTTTTTAAGGCATTAGGTTATAGAAATCAGAGCTAAAAGAGTATCTTCTTGTATGAGAATGAACAGGAGACTAAGTTTCCTAAGGACTTGTCTCAAGCAAACTAACATCTTTGGTTCAAAGCACCATTCCCTGAATATCCCTACAGTCAATGTAGTTAACATTCACTGTTCGTGGATCCAGCTAAAAGGTGCTTTGAAGAGTTAGTTTTCATGAAATTCAAAGGTTAGAAGGTAGCAATTAAGGCATGAAAAGGAATTCCAACAAGCCACTGCCTGAGTTGTTGTATAGTAATAGACATGCTTGATATACAAACTTTACCTTATAAAAACTGGTATCTTCATATGCAATGATAAGGGTACTACTATTTTCTTGGTTTGATTTTTTTTATTATATTAGTACTCATATATTCCAAAATGCCTGGAAGCAATATGCCATTTCTATAGCTTGGTAATTTTTAATTACTACTGTAAATTTCATGCAATCACTCAATAAAATTTCAATGAAAAGAATCCATTAAGAGAGAATCATTGTAAAAACTATTGCTAGCTTTATTTGGGGCCATCTTCTAAGATGACTACATAGAGCTTTAGGGGAATGTAGTAATTGAGTGGGGTTTTAAAAGAGACTACGCAAAAGTTGAAGAAGGAAAAGGTTTACTCAGTTTCTAGATCTTTCTTACCTCATCTATGTTTCTAAGCCATTTGCTGATGTTTTCAAAACTTTTACCATTGGTGATGTCATATACTAGCATGATACCCATTGCTCCTCTGTAGTAGGAGGTTGTGATGGTGTGAAATCGCTCCTGGCCTGCTGTGTCCCTGAAATAAACAGCCAATAATTATGTTAAGCATTTTGATAATACTGCATTCCAGAGAAAGGATAAACAGTAGGTCAGTTTGGTAAAATAGACAATAAAATCTGCTACCACAAAGCATGACCAAAAAACCACTCATCGAACTCTTTGTTTTGAGACAGGGTTGCAACTATGGAGAGCCTAGGCTGGCCTCCAACTCATGACCCTTCCACCTTAGTCTCTTGAGTGCTAGCATTACAGGCATGCTCCACCACCCCCGGCTGCACATTTCTAGTTGAAGAAAACTAATGAAAATCTAGAGGGGAAAAGTTAGAAAGTGACATAAAACTCTTGAAATTTACCAGGTGCCAGTGGCTCATACCTGTAATCCTAGCTACTCAGGAGGCAGAGATCAGGGGGATCACAGTTCAAGGCTAGCCCAGGCAAAAAGCAAGACTTATCTCAAAAATACCCAACATAAAAAAGGACTAATGGAATGGCTCAAGATGTAGAGCACCTGCCTAGCAAGCGTGAGGCCCTGAGTTCAAGGCCCAGTACCACCTCCCACCCCCCAAAAAACCCTCTCAGAATTCCATTTTAGTGATTTAATTCCCTAATATAACACAAAAGTATGGAATTTTCAGAATAAGGACTATACCACAACATTCAGAATCATTTGCAAAAGTTACAAAGACAGCCTCATTTTAAAATAACAAGACAAATATTTAAATTAAATTTTTATATTGTTTAATGCCTTCAAGCCTTAGGCTTAAGATTTTGCTACAGTAATTATACCCTCTCATTTGCTGTCTTCAAACTTGTGATTCTCCTCAGCCTCCCAAATGCCAGGATACAAGCATGGGCCAGACTTTCATTTACCAAAAAAAAAAAAAAAAATTTTTTTTTTAACCATGTACTTATTTGTGTATATATGCAGTTCTCCATACACAGAACCTGTACATCACCCTTCTGCTCCTTAGGTCCCTAAATTCTGGCCAATTATTTGTTTTTCCATGTCTACAAGTTTATTATTTTTTCAGAATAGAATACAAATAAGACTCATGCACTATGCTATCTTTTTAATTTTTTTTTTTTCCTGTGGGATTGGGGTTTGAACTCAGGGATTTGTGCTTACAAAGCAGGCACTCTACTGTGTGAGTTGTACCTCCAGTCTGGTTATAACCTCTGGTTATTCTGGAGATGGGGTCCAGGCAGACCTGAAACCCCGATCCCCTCAAGTAGGCAGGATGACAGGCGTGAGCCACTGGCTCAAAGCTGTATGCCTTTTGAAACTGGCATTTACCACTTTTTCTAGCACAATGCCCTTGAAGTTCTAGCAAAGTTGTTGCTTCATAGAAGTCTGTCAGATTTAACTATGGAGAAGTATTCTATGGTGACTGTTCTAACTCATCTTATTTTGCCAAAATTATTTAGATAGCCTAATCTTTCCACAAAATTTTAGGATAAGCTTGTCTATTTCATAAACACCTTCCCAGCAAACTTTTTTTTCCCCTCTCCTTTTTTCTTTTTGCAATGTTGGTGTTCAACCCTTGGCTTTTTGTGTACTAGGAAAGTGCTGTACCACCAAGCTGCACCTGGCCCCCAGTGCCAGAGAACTTCTCTAATGAGTCATCTGAAGTAGCTGCTTCCCCCAGTCATTCCTCAACCAATTATTTTTTTTGGCATTGGTTACTGAATTCGCAGAGGGCCTCACACTTGCTAGACACATGCTCTACACACTGAGCTCTATCCAGACCCTTCAATCAACTCTAATCATATTGATGTTATTAAAGACTTTATACCAAGGCTGCACTTCAAAAAGTCTCCAATAACATTCTCATTCCCAACTCACAGTCAATTCCTTTTTCTTTAATTATTAAGCAGGATTTTACACAGTTGACCAGGGCATCTTCTTAAAACACTTTATTTTATTCTCCTAACTTTTCAGATACCACACATATATATGTATATCTGTTCTGTCACTGGGTGTACATTCTCCCAATCTTTTGCTAGGAGTCAAAGACGATAGGCTGCCACTCTAGAAAGTGATCTTTGGCCAGGTGCCAGTGACTCACGCCCATAATCCTAGCTACTTGGGAGGGTGAGATTCAAGAATTGAGTGTTTGAGACCAGCCCAGACAAATAGTTTTCAAGACCCAACTCCAAAATAGCCAGAGCAAAATGGACTGGAGGTATGGCTCAAGCGGTAGAGTGCCTACTTTGCAAGGGTGAAGCTCTGAGTTCAAACTCCAGTCAAAGTAGGAGGGAAGGAAGAAGAGAGGCAGGGAGGGAGGAAGAAAGGGAAGAAAGGAAAGAGGAAAGAGAAGGAAGGGAGGGAAGGGGAGGAAAAGAGACAGAAAGGCATGGGGTTCGAGAAGGAAGGGAGGAAGGGGGGAAAGACAACCACTAGAAGGAAGAAAATGGTTTTTGTGTGTGTTCTTTTTTTTTTTTTTGTCTATACACATTCATATGAAGAAAATGCTTGCAAATCATGTATTTGGACTGTGTATGCAGAATATACGAAGGACTCTAACAATTCAACAAAAGGACAATCAATCAAACTTTAAAATGAGCAAAGGGACTGGCAGAATGACTCAAGTGGTAGAGCACCTGCCTAGCAAATGTAAGGCCCTGAGTTCATACCCTAGTAGGGGAGGTAGGGAGGAGGGGAATGAGCCAAGGACCTGAATAGACATTTTCCAAAAAGATACTCAATTGGCCGATAAACACATACGAAAGAGCTCGACATCACTGGCCATAAATGAAATGTAAATCAAATCCACAATGAATACCACTTCAACTCCTGTGGGATGGCTATAAGACAGATGGCTATGGTAACAATGAACATAATTACTCATGGCAATGTAGAAAGATGCAGAGTTTTGATAACAGTCTAGCCTTTTCTCAAAACATTACACAGCTACCATATGATCCCAGCAATTTTTTTTTTTCTTTTTGTGGTACTGGGGCTTGAACCTAGTAGGTTCACTATACCAGTCCATTTTTGTGATGGGATTTTTTGAGATAGGGTCTCACAAACTATTCTGCCCAGGCTGGCTTTGAACCAAGATCCTCCTGATTTCTGCCTACTGAGTAGCTAGGATTATAGGCATGAGCCACCGGAGCCTGGCTGATCCCAGCAATTCTACTTCTATGGGTAACCAAGAGAAATGAAAACGTATGTTTGTACAAAAACTTTTACACGAATATTTACAGCAATCATTATTCACAATAGCTAAAAAGTGTAAACAACTCAAATGTCCATCAACTGATGAAAGAATACATAAAATGTGGAATATCCAATGGAATATTATTTTAGCCATAAAAAGGAATGAACAAGACCCTGGTTTGATCCCAGAATGGGGGTGGGGAATGAAGTACTGATAATATTATCAACGTTGACACGGGTTGGGAGGGTAGTGTGTGAAAGGTGTGAAGTTTCTTATTGGGGTTGATAAATATACTCTAAAATTGTAGTGATATAACTTGTGAATACTACTGAATTATATACTTTTATTTATTTTTATTTTTGACAGCACTGGGGTTTGAACTCAGGACCACCTCATGCATGCCAGGCAGGCACTCTACTACTTAAGCCACCAGCCCTTTTTAGTGATGTTTTTTTTCGAGATAGGGTCTATTTGTCCAGGTTGGCTTCCAACTGTGATCTTCCTGTTCTCTACCTCCTGAGTAACTAGAATTACAGGTATGAATCATCAGCGCCTAGCTGAACTGTACATTTTAAATGGGTAAATTACATGGTATGTGAATTATAAAATAAACTAAAAACATGGCCAAGCTTTAAAAAAATACAAAAAACAAAACCCTTCTAATGGCAGTTCATAGGCAAGAATTAGCACTATGGGTTTATAAAATATTACAGGATTTATTCTTTTCTCCAGCCCCCATAATTTTAGGTACTCTTTTCTCTAACCTACTGGTGACTACTGTCAAGCACTGCTACACCAGCCAGAATCAACACTGTCACTCTGAGCAGCTTTGCCAAGGTCACCCTTGGTTCTTACTATCTCTAAGACCTAAAGCTGCTATCTTACTGGACCCCTAACCCCAAAGAGACTTTGGTCACCCAGTCTCCCAGAAGGAATTTACTGATCATCCTATGAAGACCCACACCAGATCTCCATCAGAGGACCTGGCTCCAGCTGTGGCTACATGAAGTGTTTTTCTACAAGAAAAATACGGTAAACTAATTAGGTTTATGAGAGAGAGGGACCAAGGGCTGGTGTTAGGTGTGAGGCAAGCAGCTACAATTTTAATAGGGTGGTGAGGGAAGGCCTCACAGAGAAGGTGAAGGAAATATGGAAGTAAGCCACATAAACATACAGGAAAACAATATTCCAAGTGGAAAGAATGAGTGCAAAAGACCCTAGGGCAAAGTTGAGGAACAGTTTACTTGACTTTTTTTTTCCTTAAAAGGTTACTGGGGGCCTCACACTTGGTACCACTTCAGCTATGTCCTCCAGCCCAGGCAGAGTCACCAGCTGTCAAGGTGACTAGAATGGACTGAGTGAGGGGAGACTGAGAGATCAGAGAGGTGTAAAGGGGAACAGGGAATGCTGATAGTGTGAGGTCTTACAGGCACTTAGCTTTTGCTCTGAGTAGGACAGGAAGTATATCAGAGCTTTGAGAAAAGTCTTACTCTGGACTTAAAGTCATTCTGTGTACTGTGTTGAAATGGGGACTGCATGTGTATGCACAGAAGCAGAATTAGGTGATAAGACAATACCTATCCACAAAAACTGCCAAGTGAAACATCTTAAAGGCATATTATTAATTCTTCTAGCTTTGGCCTTTAAATTGGATTAAACTACTAAGAGACTATGCATACAGGCATGTGTATATGCTTGCATTTCTATATTTATTTATATCCTCAAACCATAACTTTGGTCTCCATTACCTTTAATATTTTATCAATTTATCAATAATCAAGAAATAGCTTTATGAAAACTTATTCTTCATTTATTGTAATCTGGTTTGCCCCTCAATTTCTGAAATGAACAATAT